TTCACAATAAATGCATTAAAGTTAATATTTTCTGAATATTGTTACTTCAGGCGCAAAATCGGGCGCACGCGCGTGCGCGTGCTATCAAACACCATTGAAGATGCATGATCGGGCTATGAAAAATATCTACTTTAGAAGATATCAGGTACAATTAAATCATCATCTCCGTAGTCCTCATTGTACTCTTCAGCTCCGGGAGGTACGAAAATTCCACCGAGTACACCCGAGAGATTTTCACCTAACCCCATCGCCGAAGCTACTCCAAAGACCAATCTCATTACCAGTAGTCGCATAAAATTTACCACGTTGGTTTCTTTGCTTTGCAATGACAGTTGCGTCGTTTTCTTTGATCTGCTATCTGCATATCGAATCTGTGAATTACAAAATAATTTTCGAAAATCGTCAAAGTTATTGTCAAAGAGCAATTAGAAGCTTTGAAAAAAAGAAAGAAAGAAATTTACTCGAAAATAGGCTGATTTTATTTAAGTAAACGATTACCTGAGGTATTTTTATACCTTATATGTAAAAATACATCCCATATATAATAATTATTATTATTAACAACATATTGCATATTGATTGTTTTTAAATTTATTTTGAGAATATTATAGATATAGATTTAATCACAATTTTGGAAAAAAATATAAGTAGAAATCAAACCAATATTAAATGAAATAAATATGTTAAGTAGTTGATAGTATTTCTTAAAAATAGAACTTTTAATTAATATAACATTTCTTAATTTATTGCGGGTTTTCGATAGAATTTAATATTTAAAGAATGAATTTGACAAAAATAGTTATTAAAAAAGAAAGGAAATATATTAAATAACATTCATATTAAATAACAATATTTTACAATTTACTTTTTCTCCATTGGGATATAAAAAGTGCAGACTATTCTCAAATTACATAAGTAAATCCATTACGCGCGCGAAATTTATATCAACTGATCAAACCTACTTATGAGATACATTACATATCGATTGTAAACATTGTATAATGATAATAGAATAGTAATTTAAATACATTATTAAATGCTATTAATGTGATATCCAATAGAAAATAATTTGAAGATGAATCGAATTTGAAAAAAGAAAAACAAAAAAATTTGCAAAAATTTGTACTCACGCTCGTGCAGATGAGCAAAATTCCTAATAAAACTATTCGAGCTCTCATACTACGCTTCTTGGTACGCGCGGTAATAACTTCCGGGATAAATAATAAGGGAGCCGGTCAGTCCTGTAACAGTTCGTTGGCGATCGACGTTTATTCGAAAAAACGACGTCGCGATATTTACATACGAGCGAGGCATTCGCGCGAGAAACGACGACCTATCACGCTGCGTTTGCCGAACAGAACTGAGGAAAATCGAACAAGCGCCAATCTCTGCGAGTCGGCCTTTTTCTACTACGCGTTGTGTCTCGAGAAGAGAAGCGTGGCATAGCTATAGTTGAAACACAATTATTCGCTCCTCCAGCCAACCAAGCGACGCGTCGTCGATATATACACCGACTATAAGATCGCAGAACCTAAGTTATTCTACGATAACGGTACATTACGAAAAAAGGCATCCAGGCCAGTCTCGGACAGCTTCGCACGTCGCACGCCATAAGGTCGGATGCCAGTCATTGGACGCTTCAACAACCTCAGCTCGCTTCGCGTCGTAATGTCCGACATGCGCGTTTATCGCTACATCACGCATTTTCACGCTGGATCTAAGCAAATACCATTATCTAGCGTAATCATGACGAAATTTTAACAGCTAGATTATTTAGCGAAATTTTAGAAAATACTATTACCTCAAAGTGTGCATCATATATTATTGGCAACTAGTTTTTTTCATTTCTATATCTGAAGATTATTTGCAAAAGCATTCCTATTTTTATTTTATAATAACAAGAACGTAGCAAAATTTGATTGCTGTTTTTTAGCTAAAGCTGAAAAAATTATTTGATATGATTCTAACGAGAAGAACGGAGAACATATATCGCACAAAGTTGACATAGAACAATATAGATGAGATAGAAACTAAAATATGAACAAATTTTGTAGATTTATTATTAGTAATTCATTAGTTGTGGATTTTAACATTATATTGAATTAATTTATTCAATAAAGTATCAATATATTTGAAATCGATAATGCGCAATATTCGCAGTCGATATTCTTGTTACTAATCTGTATCCATAATCTTCCAATTATTATCAACCCTGTGCTATTGGCCTGCTTCTTACACAGGAAAATGATGTATGGTAGATCTCTAGAAGTTGCATGTTGTTAGAAAACGCACGAGAAATTAGCCTGAATTGTAAGCGCCGATGAAATCTGGCACGGATCGTTAACTGGCGCATCATCCATTCGTGCCGTATATTACGCGATGTGTTACGAAATTTTTTTGCCCATCGTAACCTCGTCGTTCTCGTGGCTATCTTAGATATTTATACTCGAGAAAATCACTTTCGAACTACTTGTGTATGTGGAAGATACGTCTACAATTAACAGTCTAATTCCAATAACTAGTGAATTAATTTTAGTTTTTTCTTTTTTTTATTTATTACTACGATGATTATTAGATTTATATTAAATAAAATTAAAAATTAGAAAAGAGTTTAATATAAAAGAGTTTAATATAAAAGAGTTTCTATAAACGAATTGAAAAACTGCTAAAAAGAAATAATAGTAATGTAATTTTCTCATTACTAAATGAAAGATAGTATATTTGATTTTAGAATTACGTATATGAGATATTATATTTTACAAATCGAACACTCCTAATAGGAGGTAACATTTTTAATTTACTACAAATTTTTTTTACGTGTTTCTTATATAAAATAAGCCGATACATATTTTGGCAATGCTTTCGAAAATATGGAAAGTTAAAGTTTTAAAAATTTGCCGATTATACTTCTTAAAATCGCGATAATTCCACTACTTTATTCTACAGAGTCCAAATTTGCTTATTTTAAAATACAAAAAGAATTAAATATAAACTAAATAAAATATATATATATATATAAATTATCTACATTTACATATTCATTATTACTATAATTGTTGTTAAATTATGATTATTATAAACAATTAAAATATTTAAAGACATTTTACTGCCATCAAAATGAAGATTAAAAAAAATATCATAGTATTCTTCGTTAAATTTTCTATAAAAGTCATATTTTTTTAGATTTTTAGATTTTTTGGTCATTTCATATTATCTGCATGGAAGAAAATAATTTCCGCGGCGTGGCGGCGAGTGTGACAAGCAGGTTACTGATCGTTGAGTCCACTTCGCCATTGTATTGCACCCGTCATATTGCACACTTACGTCAGTACGTCAAACGCAGAACGCAGTTTGCAGATGTATTTGATTACAGCTTTTGCGACTTATGTAGATGGCTCTTTACATACGATTTATGAATGATTTACGTGCCATTAACACATCACTACATATTACAAGTGATACATAAATATCTCACATATACATACACGTAAATAATATTATACGAGATATAACTAATTGTCTTTAGAGAATCTCCTTAAGAGAAAAATGGAGAAATCTACATATATGCATGCACGCACGCACGCAAAAGGTATAAATTCGACCGGGCAACCTTCATGCGATACACCTTGGGTAATGCCGATGCCGGCGGTACTGTAACTTTTAATTTTCATAACTCGAGATTTACTTAATCAAAAGATACTTTATTATAGGATTTTAGAAAGCTCTTGACATCGACTATTAGATTCTATTATATATTGTATATTGTATATATTGTATATATTGTATTATATATTGTATATATTGTATTATAGAATAAAAAGTAGTTTCATTTAAAAAAAAATCGTTGATCTAATCTTAGTAAAGCCACCCAAGATCAAACTGATATGTATATATTATATATAGGATGTTTCAGACCACCAGTCCCTTTTTATCTCCGTAGGATAAGATCCAATCAAAAATATGTTCAGATCAAAGTTGTGGGGTTTAAAAAGATCTGTTTATTGTGATGAGACATTTAAAACAAGTCATCTGAATATTTCGCTTGTTTTTAACACTAAAATGAAAATTGCCAAACAAAAGCATAGATTCAAGAAGGACATATTTTGGTCATGTTGTCTTTCTTCTAGGTGGAGGCGCTAAAAAAGTATGAAGGTCATCTTCACTTTTAAAACTGATTTGGATGATTTTTTTTACACAATATGGTTTCTCTAATTATTTTGCATATAAAAGTATTAAGATAGTGATATAAAAAAATATGATTCCTCTAATCTGAAACCAATAGATTATGAGATATTTTCTCTCTCTCTTATTCTGGCATTATTGACATAAAATATTAAATAACTCGTAAACTATTAATTTTTTGATAATCATATCTTAATATTTTTATGAAGAGAATAATGAGATATGAACCAATTGGAAAGAAAACACATAGTTGCTTATTTAAAAAATTATCCATTTTGCATATATATTTTAAAAATAACTATGTGTTTTCTTTTCATCAATTGATTTATCTAATTATTTTATTCATAAAAATATTAAGGAAGTACGATTATTAAAAAATTAATAGTTTATGAGTTTTATTTAACATTTTAAGCTAAAACCACTAGTTGTGGGTCACTCTTTAAAAAAAATTTTATATTTCATCTAAAATAATATCAAATAATTAATAAAATAAATAAATAAAATGTAATAATCGTGTTTGATCATAAAGATCATATTATGAATGATTTTATTTCATTTCATTACCGTTTTACATATTTTAATTTGAATCAAATAAAGTAATGACAATTATCCACAATTAGATCCCATGTACTAATTGCAGATCAATTCACACCAAATGCTTTATTTCTTTTTGCAACTGAGTATAACGTTGATTTTTTCCCATGAATTTTAATACTATTTACTATCTACTATAAAAACCATAAGACAATTCTTATGATATCATACTTTGAATGAATTTTTAAACATACATATATTAGTTAATCTCATACATTTAATTAGTTAATGATATCAAAATGTAGTGCTGTTCCTAATAAATTCAATTGACACTTGAAAGAAATAAAACAAATGCTAAAGAATCTTACGATATATCATTTAATGAAAAATATTATAATTATTTAAATATAAAAAGTGATCTGGAATTAGTGCCTAATCCACATCTAGTGGTTTTACCCTATTATGTATATCAATATATGCCAGAATAAAATATAAAATATCTCGTAAACATTGGTTTTTGATATCACTACCTTAATACTTTTATATTTATAATAATTAAAGGAGTTATATTATGTATAAAAAAATCTCATACAATTCAATTTTAAAAAATAAAAATGATCTTGAAGTCTCAAGAAATATGATTGAGAAAAATTTCTGAATGTTCTCTTTCTGAGATAAAAGGGATGTATAATTTCAGATATATATGCCTCTTTGAATCAAACAACATTCTCTTTTTGTATCATTAAAAATAAAGGAGATATTTTAGATGATCAAGTTAGAGAAAATATCTTGTATGTATTTACTATCACGAATAGTACAACTCTTATAACTATAATATCCTTATTCTGATTATTGTATTTTATTTTTTTAAATCAATATAGCGATGTTTGCGTTGCATTAAATTTTTGCGTCTACAGAAACAAATAAATAAGCGATTATGGCTCATCAACAAAAAGAATGAAGTAAAGAGCTCCGTAAATGACGAAATATATGATCCAGAATATCGATATCAATTGTGATGCCTAAAATTGAACGATGATGACGATGGCGAAGAAAAAAAGAAGTAGAATTTTCTTTGGATTCGATCATTGATCCGTCTTGGCGACAAGCCACCCGAACGACAGGATGTGACTGGAACCGGACGTAACGAGTTTAGCATACGTAAACAGTTCCAGAAATGAAGGAAACATCTCGGTTATTAGTCATTGTCGTACTGCAATGACTTATGCCTTATTAGCATCAAAATAATATTATTTAGTATGACACACTTTTTCAAATTTTAAAACAGTCATTATAACAGGTATTCAGATAGCAATGTGTCTGTCTTGTTGCTCTGCATGTTGCTTACTAATAATAAACACTAGTGTTGCTATTAGAATTGCAGCAACTGAATTCTCATTTGTTGACAGCTTGCCTTCATGGTATAACAACTTTAAGCAACAATTTGCTTTAACCAGCAGTTTACCGATAATTTTAAAATTATCATCATCAAAATTTGTACTACTGCCATCGTGTTGCCATAATAATATACAACATCAAATAATGCTGTCATATTACCAACAACACAAGATAACATTGATGCAGCTTATTGTTAAACAGTTGGCAATACATATACACATTGTTGCCTACTGTTGCTACAATGTTGATACTATTGCTACAATGTCGAAAAGACAAATTTATGGCAAGTTGTCAGCATTATAAGCAATAACGGATTTGTGAGATATGCTTTGTTATCTGGGTAGCCATTAAATTATTATTATATTTTATTATTATATATATTTTATATATATATATTTTAGTCCAAAGTGGAAGTTTGCACTTTTTGCAACAATCTAGGATTTCATAATGTTTAATCGTGCATTTGCAATATTCGGTCATCTATTAGAGTATAAAAAATATAGATTTTATATATATACATATACATATATTTATAAAGAAACCTTTATTTTTTCAAGGAATTATCTCTGAAATAAATGGTTGTTAGAAAAGATATGTAGCGAATCAAAATTTTTTCTACTCTAAAGAAATATCGTAGATAGAAATAAGATTATGTAATTTGCATAGAGGATATTTATATTAATATGTAATTATGATAGTAAATATAACAGTAAATATATGTATATAAATTTTACAAAACAATGAAGGTCAACATTGATCAATGTTTTTCTGACAAAATACTACATACATGTATGTACTATTATAAACAGCGTTTGCGGAGTTTATAAACTTAGCTGGGACATTATCTGACTCGAGTAACATCTCTTTCTCTCTCTCTCTCTCTCTCTCTCTCTCTCTCTCTCTCGCGCGCGCGCGCGCGTTGAATATTTATATACATACTGCATTGCGGAATTAAAGTATATTTTCCTATACACATTTCACAGAAATAACTATCATTTAAAAAACTGGTTGATGCTGAAATTCATATTGTTAGCATATTGTGCGCGTGCTTATAGCATTTTTACATTGAATCTTCAATTTCAATTGACCGCGTAAATCGGCGAATAGAGATTCACCGTGCAATCATTTGCAATTATCGCAAACGCATCATCATCCGATGTCTTTCATCTGACTCAGCTTGGAAATTAAAAAATCAGTAATCCGTTATCGCTTTCCTTTTTTGCTTGCTCTTCCTGCCGTCCCTCCTCTCTTTTGATCATATTTTGCATTAAATACAATTTATAATAATACAATAACAACTAGATACGATTAAAAGAAGGTTACCAGCAATGGTAACACCAGTCACAAAATATTAATCGTTATTGGCAGAAGATCGTTTGCTTTTCATATACATATTATAAACATACATCAGGTATTGAAACAATAAACCATACCTTCTCGTCCTCCTCTGATTCAACTGCCATTCAATTTCCTCCTTCACGCCTCGCATCCTGCAAGAGAGATGGCTCCTGACCGATTCTCTCTATGTCAGTGCACGCTTTACCTTCGTGCATGGCACTTTGTTTGAACTTCGTATCGTATTTCACTCCGTTTTATATAAAACAATTTCTTAAACTACTTACTCTCAAATTTTTATAAACTAAATAATAATTCTTAAATTATTTTTCTGATATAAATTATTAATTTTGTTAGATATTACAACTACTACTTACACTTTAATTTGTCCAATATGTTACAAATAGAATATTTAATACAAACGAGGGAATTAACTTTTCTTTTAAAATATCTTATTCCAATCTTTGTAAAGGAATAAATTAATGTGATTATAAGAAACTTTAAACTATAGTGCGTGTCACACTTTTGACAAGCAGAATTTCAGTCGTTCGACTATCAGGGGTTGATGTGGAGAGATTGTTACTCACGATGAATGCGGAGGAAGCTAAAGTGGGTTGCTTTCAAATGATGTTAGTGTTGCTACTCGGAATAAACTATGTCATTGTCGCCATGAGTCACGGGCTACCGGTTTTTCATAATTATACGCCAAAATTTTATTGTCAGGTAAGATAGAGTATAAAGGGAAAGAAATTAAAAATTTTTATTTATTTTTATTTTTTTGTGATATAAGCTATTATCTTAATAGTCAAAGCTATTATCTTAATTCAGTGAAATATACACATAGGACGATATTCAACCAAAAAAAAAAATCGGAAAAAGTTTATAAAGGAAGGAGTATAAAAATGACTAAAATTAATGCTGAATGAATATCTTTAAAATTTATGTAGCCATTATTTTTTTGAAAGTTCGTACATTCATGAAAAAATGTTTATTTATTTTTAGGAAAGCTTGTGAAATCGTCCAAAAAAAATAAAATAGATCATTTAAACGCACTGCAAAAAACTCATTTTGTTTTTAAACGGTGATTTCAAAATTAATGGTGCGTTTGCATTTAACATAAGTTGGATCATGAAATACTATTAGAATACATTACCAGGAAGGTTACAAATATATATGTATATATATTTGTAGAATATATATATA